TGCCCAATACCTCCGGGATGCCCAATAGGTCTCAAGCATTTGCTCATTAAATTCTCACACCACCCTAGGTCTTTGGATGCCATTACAATCTCCACTTTCCAAGTGGAACAACTGAGGCTTGGCAAGCTGAATCCTTGGCTCAAGGGCACAGCGATAGGCCAAGGTGAGCAGGAATGTGAGACCAAGGATGCACAACTCTGCAGGGCCCACTGTTACTGTCATCAGTGCTCATTCAGATCTGGAAGGAGTACTTGAGGTTGGCTCATCATCCCATTGTATAGCTGAGAAAACTGAGACCCAGAGAAGAGAAGAGACTAATCTAGTTACAGAGCTACCACTGTTAGAACCAGAACAAAAATTCCTACAAATGCTGCTCATATTTATTGAACACTTACTATGTTCCACAGGCTAAGTGCTTGTGTCATCTTTTCAGTTCATTCTTACAATAACGTCAGGAAGAGACAATTAGCAATCTCATTTTTCATTTGGGCAAACTGAGGCAGAGAGAAAAACAGCTAACTCAAGGTCCCTCAGCTGATCAGCGGTGGAGGCATACCCAGGGAGTCAAGCTCTAGAGACCTCATCCAGTGCTCTGCCTCCCCCACAGAGAGGCTGGCCTCACCCAGCATCCCAGGCCCACGCAGACTCCCAGGGCATGGCCACCTCCCAGCAAGGCAGGGTGCAGCTCAGGGAGACAGGTGCAGAGCCAGGCTGGCAAACCCTGGGTGCCAGAAGACCATGAGCCCCCTGCCTCTGCCAAGGGAAGTTTATCCGACAAAATGCAGCCAGCAAGAGCACGTCTCGCTTTGCGTCTCCCGTTGCAGGCAGCACACATCTTGGGAGATGTGTGGATGAAAGGCACCATATAAAATGCAATCAATTATGAATCACCATTACTGAATTAATCACATGTATGATTAATACAGTAATAATAATTAATGGGAGTACGGTCTAGAGATTAGAGCTGAGAACTGGCAGGGAGGAGCCAGAGTATTCCTCGCCACTGCCTGGAGGCGTCACCCGGGAAGGGCCTGGGTTTGGATCTTGGTGTCTCTCCGCCCGCCCCTGCCTGGGCTGTACAAGTGAGGGGCTTGATGTCTCAAAACCCCAAGATGGGCCTGGGCTAGGTCCTGGGCTCTTCCATCTACCTACAGCTACCTCTCAACTGCTCAAGGTCAAGGGGACAAAGTTTCTTGAAGAATCCAAATCTTGATCTGGCGTAAGATGGTGAAGGGTGTGAATGAGGCCGGGGTGAGGATGTGGTGGGGTGGCCTTTGAGCTCACACTTGACTTTCATCAGCCCTATAAGCTCATTTGCTGTCTGTCCCATTGTCCGTCTGCATTAGGATTTGTCTTTTCTCTGAAATCCCCAGAGGGCTAGACCTCATCTGTTCTTTCCCATTGCAAAGCTGGTGGATTAGTTTTGCATGTGGCTGTATTCTTTCCCGTGACTCGTCCATCCCGGGCACATTCCTTATTCCCAAGGAGGGGAGCAACGCAAACAGCACACAGTGAGAACGCCTGCAGTCCTCCCAGCTCCCTGGTGTGCATTTGGGTGTGTACCTTTGTAAGCCTCTCTTTCCACAAGTATACATATTATGTATGTGTTACACATGGGCATGTATTGTATATGTAATTATATACAGGCCCCTTTTAAAAAAATAGGTGGAATAAAATTAAATACTTGTCGTGCAGATGCTTTTTGATAGTAGCTGCCACATGCACAATTCAAATGAGAACTGCACAGTGCAGCCAAAATCCCACCAATGAAGTAAACCACCAGGCTGCTGGTGAGAGGGGGGCCAGCGATGAGTTTTTTGGAGGGAGATTCATTAACACTTTCCTGCCCCTGGTGCTCAGCATCTTTTTACTCCTGAGGAAAGGTCATTTGTCCAGAGACATCCAAATGCAGTTTAGAAATGAATGTCCCCCAGCCACCTGGTCCCTACATGGCTGGAATCCTATTTGTTCTCCAGCATGGAAACAAAGCATCTTATTGTTCCCTTGAAAGGAAAACCATCTCCTGGCAGCTGCACAGAGCTTGGTCAAGTCAGGTTGTCAGTATGGGAACCCCTGCCCGGGGCATATTCCTCCTAATGTGGATGGGGAAACTGAGGTTGGGAGCAGGGAAGGGATCTACACAACCAGTTAGGGACCAAGCCAAGACAAGCCCATCATCTTGACTCCCAGTCCAGGGCTCTTCCACTATCCCATGATTTCCAGGGTCTGAAAATGGGGAGACCCAGAGACAGGTTCTGGAACAGGTCCCTGGAAAAGCCTGTTGGCATCAGCTGGCTGCAGAGGTGAGGAGCCCTGGGAAGGAGGACTGCTGGAGAGGAGGTGGAAATTTTTTCAAGTGGCAAATATCTTTGCAAATGGGTCACCCAAACCATCCTGGCAACTGCAGGGAGGATGCACCCGGGTCCCTTGGCTGTGCTTGGATGAACTGTAGTAAGGAAGCATCCTCCTCCCTGTCTCGTTGGCTGTTCCTGACAGCATCCAGGCCCTGGGTGATAGAGGAGCAGGGCGTTTCCTGGGGATTGATGACCCTGCCTGGGGCAACAGCAGGCAGAGGGCCTACCGGGTCATCACTCAGCCTGTGCGGGAGCCCCACACAGTGCCCTTCTCTGCTGCCTACAGGCTGAATATTTTGAAATCAAATCGCTGAGATCTGTTCTTGTCCTAGGAGGAGCTTCCTCCTGCTGGACGCTCTGAGACCAGGAAGGACATGGCCAGGGCTAGCTGCATCTGATTTCCTGGATGACTTTGTGGGGTAGACCCACCTCCCTTGGCAGAGACCTGAGGGTATGTGTGGCAGAGATACTGGATAGCCCTGTTTTGACCCCTCCTTGGAAAAGGAACTGCTTGCCATTCACAGTTCACAGATGGGGACACTGAGGCCCTGAAGCAATCAGTGCCACACCCCAAGTTAAACAGTAAGTCAGGCAGTAGCCAGCACCTCCTGAGAACCCAAAAACCCTGCCTCCTGGCTCAGAATCTTCCTTAGCTATGTGACCTTGGACAAGTGACTTAGGTCTCTAAGCTTGTCTCCAAGTTGGGACTTTCCTAATAGAGCTAAGTCACAAAGCTTTGGGGAGAAATCAATGAATAATGCACATAAATTCATTTGCAGGGAGCCTGGCACAAAACAGGTGTTAAGTGAGTGCTGCTGCTGCTGTTGTTGTTGTTGTTGTTATTATTATTATAGCAGATGACAGTTTTTAATTCTGCATACTCTGTCTGCTTTGTCACAAGAGTCTAAATGTTATTCAGCAGTAGGACCCTCTCTGCAGGTTTTGGGGGAACCAAGAGCAGGAAGGGTTAAGTGGAGGTAAGGGTGACAGTGGGGTGGGGCACTGAAATGCTATCTTATGCTATATCTTGCTCCCATTTCTGACATTCTCTGTGACCTTGGACCATTCTCTCTCTCTCTCTCTCTCTCTCTCCTCTCAGGCTCTTTGTTCTTGATGCATCCAAATGACAGTGTTGGCTGCTTGGGCACTGCAGTAAGAACCCACCCCAGGAGGCCAGGAGAACCCCAAACCCACAGGGGCCACTGGAGGAGGAGGAAGTTCCCCCAATAGCCCCAGAGGGCAGCCTGGCAGGGAATCTCCAGGGGCTGGAGAATGCAGGGCTGCCCAGTGTTGCCAACTCAGTGGCCTCTGCCGGGCCCTGCAAGAGTCCTCCCACGCCCTCCTCCCAGGCTTGGCCCGAGAGAGGCAGAGATCCCCTCAGGCGAGGCCCCTCCTGCCCCCCTACTCTGCACTCCCTGTGGAGCCGGCTTGGCTTCGTCAAAAGCAGGGCCCATCAGGGTGGAGGCGGCGATGTGTCAGCTGGTATTCAGGCTCTGGTTGTGCGCTCAGTTCGCTCCCCCTCCCCATCTCCCCAAATCCACCCACCCACCCCTTTACCCACTGCTTGGGGCCTTCTGGGTGGCAGCACTTCACAGAGAGAGAGAGAGAGACAGAGGAGCAGCCTTGAGCCCTTGGCTGTTGGGGGTGGGGGGAACTGACTCACTTGGCCCCCTTCTTGGTGCCGATGGGGCAGCTCCCACACCCAGGGTCGCCGGCCTCCGGTCAGGCCCCTGGGTTTGGAAAAGGAAACTGCAGCCCGCCGCGCCTGACCCGAGCCGGCTGAGGATGCGCTCTGCGCGCAGGG